AGTGCGGACTCGTGGCACGTGTTATACCCGGAGCCGAGTTTAGCTCATGGGTTGAGAAGTGGGTGTTTGACGGGACGACTGGTTTGATAAACACTTGTTATCCAAAGTCAATGCAATTCACGAAACAATTGTTGAGAAACAACAGAAAAGTCCAAAAATTACATGACGTGACGGACAGAGAAACTAAAATATTTCTGAAACAAGTGGCCGGCAATGAGTTTAAGTCTGCACTGACAAAGTTGAAGGCAAAACATATTAAACATTAAGCAAAATAAATTTGATAATTTTTATTATATATAATCTAACATGTAATTTATATGTTATATTTGAACAATAAACAAACTAAAATAATTTGACAATTTTTGTGTATATAAATTACATATTCCGAATTATTATAATTTTTAGGGTATTATTAGGATTTTAAAAATATAGATGTCTGTAAAGTTTAACAAGATTATAAAACAAGTGAACCGAAGTTTTACCTGTTACAATCAATGTGTACATATTTTATTTGCAAATATTATTAGTAAATAATTCTTCTTAATAAGTTTTTGTAAATAGATTAATTTAATTTAATTAAATTAAATATTTAAAATTTTTGTTTTGTATTTTCAGTATTTTAAAAAATATTTATTGGTGGAATAAGGATTACCCAATATTTAATTTTAATAAATAATTAAATGTATATTATTTATAATGAATTTACTTAATAACAGTTTAGAAACAATTAAAAAAAAATTTGCTTGTAAATAAAGTATAAAATTTGCTTTGATGATAACAAATATTAATTAACATTAAGTTTAATTTGACAAATGTTAAATAACATGAGTTAACAATGTTTGTAACACATGAATTGCATTGTGTTACATAATTCATACTGAATATCTGCGCCATTAAAATAGAAAATTGATCATATTTACTTTATTGATAAATGCATAGAAATACGATTAAATAAGTGACAATATTAGTTAAATCAAATATGGCAGCACACGGTAGATCAATTGTTACCCACGAGTTAGTAACTAATCTTGATCAAGAGATATTGACGGAAAATAAACATGGTGTTTTGGTGATTACATTGAATAGACCTCAAAAATTAAATGCTTTATTGGCCGAAATGTACGCAAACTTAGGCAAAGCCTTACGATTGGCGGCAACCGATGATACGGTCACTATGGCTATGATAACGGGCGCCGGCAAGTATTAATACTTTACCGCCGAAAATGATCTAGGTTTGTATTTCGCTCTAGAATATTTACATTCATTATTATTAAACAGTGTTAATTATTATTAAACAATTATTATTAAATAATTTAGTTGTTATATAGATAAAAATAAAAATGTGTATTGTTTTTTTAAAAATAAATCATAAGAAATTGTTGCTGAAACCATTTGTAATTATATTTGTAATGTATTAATTATTTAAAATATAATTTAATAGAAATTTACAGTTTATTTATAGATTAATAATTTTTGAAACAAATTATTTTTAATTATTAGCTCTTTTATAAATTTTATCTAAATTTTAGATTAAATAAGAATACAAATTCAATTTGAAATAGAATATAATTAAATAGCGGATTATCTATTATTAAAAATATTTAATGCAATTGAAATAAATAAAATTATTATAATAAATAAAAATATTATCACAGGTATGTGGGCTCAATCATACGGAGACAGTAATAGCAACATAACCCAAACAATCATGGTTATTAGTGTGTTAATCACAGCACTCATAGACTTCCCAAAACCATTGATCAGTGCTGTGAACGGCCTGGAAATAGGTATAGGAGTGACAGAAATTGCGCTCATGGATACAGTGGTGGCCAGCGATGCGGCATATTTTCACACACCGTTCACATCGTTGGGCGTTACAGCCGAGGCGTGCAGTTCATACACTTTCCCTAAACTAATGAGCACATCTCTGGCCTCAGATATGTTGTTGTTTGGCCGCAAACTGACGGCTGCGGAGGCCCTACAGTGCGGACTCGTGGCACGTGTTATACCCGGAGCCGAGTTTAGCTCATGGGTTGAGAAGTGGGTGTTTGACGGGACGACTGGTTTGATAAACACTTGTTA